ATCTCTATACTTAAATATTTTCTGACAATGGCTCCACCTAAACGTTCCACTGTTGCTGAAGAAGGTAATAAAGGCGAAGAGACACAGAACTCTTCTAATAACGCCTTACCGGACTTAAGACTACCTTAATTTGATCTGAAGGACACACCAATGTTTTGGTTACTTTCCCGGTTAACATCTCGAATGCAAGACTTACGACTGGAAGTATCTGAGCTCCGAGCACAGCGGAACCAGTCACAGACAGTATCCAAGCAACGGCGACCAAGATCTAGACGACGTTCTATAACACCATCTCAAAGCCGTAACATTTGCTGGTATCATAGGAGGTATGGGCATAATGCCCTGAGGTGTCTCCGACCGTGCATGTACAATAGTGGTGACGCAACTCAGGGATACCCCCTAGCCAGGCAGTAATGGCGGCGGCTGTTACTGGCAATCATCCCAGTCGCCTTTTCTACGTGAGGGACTTGACTACCGGCACATTATTCCTGGTAGATACAGGCGCCGAGGTCAGTGTTATTCCCCCTCACTATCCAGGCGATCAGCCAAAATACCTGGTAAACTTTCACTCGCGCTGCCAATCAAACCAACATACAGACGTATGGTGGACAGTCAATGATTCTAAACCTAGGATTGCGCCGACGTTTCACATGGATCTTCATAGTAGCTGACGTACGTCACACTATACTTGGTGCAGACTTCCTAAGTCACTTCAATCTGTTAGTTGACATCAGCAACAAAAAACTGATTGACAATTGCACCCAACTCAAGATCCACGGTATTACAGGTGACTACTCTGTTCATAGCATCTGTATAGAAAAGCCGGAGAGTGAAATGTTCTCTACCTTATTGCAACGATTTCCGAAAATCCTTAAACCGTCGTACAACGTGGAAGATATATCTCATACAGTTACGCATAAAATCATCACAACAGGACAACCTGTGAAGGCACGTCCACGACGGTTACCACCAGATAAACTAGCCGCAGCTAAGTCGGAATTCGAACATATGATGCAGCTGGGCATCATACGACCATCCAACAGTCCATGGTCTTCACCTTTGCATGTGGTTCCCAAAACTAATCACGACTGGCGACCATGTGGAGATTATCGCGCTCTGAATAACGCTACGGTACCAGACCGTTATCCTATACCTCATCTCCACGACTTCTCCTTGGCGTTACATGGAAAGACTATTTTTACCAAAGTTGACTTGGTTAGAGCATATCATCAAATACCAGTCGCTCCAGAAGACATTCCAAAAACAGCAATTATCACACCTTTTGGATTATTCGAATTCTTGAGAATGCCTTTCGGTCTAAAGAATGCCGCGCAAACATTTCAGCGTTTTATGGACCAAGTTACCCAAGGTCTTGATTTTGTCTTTGTGTATATCGACGATGTCTTAATTGCCAGCTCATCGATGGAAGAACATATGGAACACTTAAGCTTGTTATTTCAAAGATTTGAACAATTTGGAGTTGTGGTCAATCCAAAGAAATGTATTTTTGGTTCCCCATCCATCGAATTTTTAGGACATCGAATAACTGCCGAAGGCATCAGACCTACCGAAGATAAGATAGAAGCTATTAAGAACTTTCCCGAACCTGATTCCTTAAAGAAACTTAGACGTTTCCTCGGGATGTTCAACTTCTACCGACGTTTTATTCCATCATGTGCCTCCATAGTTCAGCCACTGACCGACCTACTTAGACGCAATTCAAAGAAATTTCAGTGGTCTGAAGAAGCAAAAGCAGCATTTTATAACGCAAAATATGCCTTATCCAACGTCGTAATGTTGTCTCCTATCAATCCAGAAGCTTCACACATCTTATGTACAGATGCATCGCAGGTAGCAGTGGGAGCAGTTTTACAACAAAAGTTCAATAATGACACCACTCCACTTGCTTTCTTCTCCAAAAAGTTGGAACCTGCACAAACTCGTTACAGCACATTTAGCAGAGAACTGTTAGCCATCTACCTAGCAGTAAAACATTTCAGCTTCCTACTACAAGGTAGACATTTTACTATCTTAACGGACCATAAGCCTCTCTGCTACGCTTTCACCACTTCGTTGGATAGACACTCTCCGAGAGAAGCCAGACAACTGGATTACATCTCACAATTCTCAACAGACATCCAGTTCATCAAAGGAGATTCCAATATCGTAGCTGATTCTTTATCTCGATGTGACGTTAATCACCTATCTTCGATAGATATTAGCTTAGAAAATATAGCCAAGCTGCAGAAAAATGACGCCGAACTTCATTCTTGCAGACGAAACTCCTCCCTACAGTTGCAGGACGTACCTATTCCCCTGTCTGATACAACCATCGTCTGCGATGTTTCAACGGGCGTTCATAGACCTTTTGTCCCACTAAGTTGTCGAAAACCTTTGTTTGAACATCTGCATTCCTTGTCTCATCCTGGTATACGTGCTACGGTCAAGTTGATCAGCGAACGTTTTGTTTGGCCCAAGATGAACTCCGATATTCGGAAATGGGCCCACCAGTGCTTGCAATGTCAAAGATCCAAGGTACATCATCATACCGTTACACCTCCAAAGCAGTTCAGTTTACCGGATAGACGATTCCAACACGTGCACATAGATATTATTGGACCATTACCGCCATCCAGAGGATTTACTCGTATACTTACTGCCATTGATCGATTTACCCGATGGCCTATTGCTTGTCCACTCAACGACATATCTGCAGAAAATACCGCCTTGGTTTTCTTAGATCGTTGGGGGTCAAACTACGGAGTACCAACAACGATTACAACAGACCGATGAGCTCAATTTCAATCAACTCTGTTTCGAGAGTTTACGAGACTCCTTGGAGTGAACCATATCTCCACTACAGCTTATCATCCTGCAGCGAATGGTCTGGTGGAACGTTTCCATCGACAACTGAAAAGCTCATTAATGGCACAAGCTGACTCATCTAAGTGGAGTGAACACCTACCGTTAGTTCTTCTCAGTATCCGATCAACTGTCAAAGAAGATTTGGGATGTACACCAGCTCAACTTGTGTATGGTACTACCCTCACGTTGGCTGGTCAGTTAGTTCCGTCTAATGATTCAACTGAAGTAAATATCTCCGACTTCACCAACCGCCTTACCCAGCAAATGCTCCAGCTTCGACCAGTAACCCCTCGCCAATCACTTCAGAAAGCTCAAGTTAATAAGAATCTACTCACTTGCAGATTTGTATTTGTTCGCGTCGACGCCATTAGAAAAGGTTTGCAACATCCATATGAAGGTCCTTTTCTAGTACTTAAACGCACAGATAAATACTTCACGCTGAATAAACATGGTAAACCGGAGACTGTTTCTATCGATCGTCTTAAACCAGCGTACACCGACAGCGAATATGAAACACTAGCAACGCCGGCACCAGTAAACAATCAGAAAGTCAATGCAACTCCAACTCTCCCGCTCTTCACACTTCCCCCTGTACAGACACGCAGTGGACGGCAGATCTCTAAACCTGCCCGCTATGTTCATTTTGTTGACTGACATTAAAAAAAAGTACGTAACCTCATTTAAACATACTTATTATTATTGTTGTCGACGTTCATTTCATTATAACCATAAATATTTACTAGTATTATTGTTTGCTGTTCGTTAACTGTGCTGCAAGCACACGCATTCACCAAGTATTTGTATATATCTATTTATATATGAATTTTGCAAATGCTAAGGAACATTTCATGGTTTATTATGTACAGAAACATTTTTTCTTTAAAATTATAGCAAGTTTTGATATTTTTTTTCTTCTAAATTCCTGCTTGCATGTGCTAAACTTTATACAACACGGATGCATTCCGTACACCCTGATCTAATTTTGTATCCTTATTGTTGTTGATGTTATTTTTTTTGTTACCCTTATTGTTGACATTACCCATTATTTATATCGCTTATATTCATGTAATCGTCCACGAGGACAGTACTGATGGTCCTCCGGACCTCTAAGAGGGGGAGCCCTGTGGAGTCCTCAAAAATAAACTTATCCAAATTTTACTATTATGTAAAAAATGAACATATTGTACACTACTTTGTTTTAACCAAAAACTCTGTACTTTTGAACTTCCCTCGAGTTTTAAATATATGTATAATTCTACCTTCGACTCTCCGTCTTCTCCACCATCTCAACAGCCGTCGATCAATTATAACAACCTGCTTTCTATCTCGAATTTTCGCAGGATCACCGTAGCCTCCTCCTACGCACTTTGGTCGACCTCCGGCAACGTCAACACTGGAGAATTAGAACTGGAGCAGTCTTCCCGCAGCACTTCTGGAATCCATTACGTTTATTGTGGAATTTGGACCTTTGTAAACCCAAGTAACAAAACTTTAATATATTCTTCCCGTAAACTCAATTGATTTGGTATTTTGTTTTCTATTTGAATTTTGGGTAAATAAGCTAACAGAGCAAAAGGTCCACCACATCATAACCTACCTAGGAGCAGAATGAAATGTTCTAAAAGCTCTATGTTCCCTGCTGTCGATTAATATGTCTACCACTACTGAGGATATTGGTGATCCCACTGCCACCTGTTCTGTTTGTTTGCTTTTATATCTCATTTTCAATTTTGAACACAGTGCAGCAGGGGTTGGTTAGACACTCAATATTTTGTTTTATCAGTCGACAGCTTAGTCCTACTTTTGAGTTCATGATCAATGTCGGGTCCACATTCTTAACTACCCCTAGAGCTGTATTCACTGGGAAATTAGTATGTACAAACTGGTTATATTAAAACTAATCTTAATTTGTTTTTCATCCTTTTCTATCTGAATTTCCTGTAGCTTCTGTTTCATTGCATAGGAATTAGTCAGCCTAGAATTTGACCAATTTCTAAATAAGCCATGACATTTGTGCTATCTTCGATAATTCACATGTCGGAGTGTTCTAATCTGTCATCCTTTTCTCACGCTATCTTCGTTGATTCACTGACTTTGACATCTATTGGTTTTCCCATTTTTCTTCCTTTTTACAGGGAAAGGTTGAAATCACAGAAAAAGGTATTAAATTAATTGAAAAGTTGACGAAATCATTGAATTCTGCTAACACAACAAATGGTGGATGCCCCATAGCTGAAAGTCCAGTGAAAGAAAACATTTCAACGCCACATGATGGTAAAAGCAATACATCTAAGAAAAGGAAACGTGTAACTACTCCTTCCCCTGAGAGAGTTAAACAACCTAATCGTGCGTTGAAAGATATTGTGAACTTTTATCCGGCTTTATCATCGAGCAGTCGAAATGCAGTACCCCTGTACCAACTATAAACATACGATTTTAATCTAATTTGCATACTCATATTATATGTTTACACAGACCGATTTTATATGTACTTCGTAAACATTTGTCAATTTACTGTTGAACGTTACCTTGATACAATTTTGAAATTTGACTACGGCTATAATACACGATTACACTCTTCACAAGTGCCTTCTGATTTTACGTTGTGGGCGTCGAGTAGCCACAAGGTCTACGCACATTGATAAACGTGAAGAAGTACTAGGAAATACGTGTACGCTAATTTAGTCAAATAGAACACGCAACAAATTGGTGAGCCCGACGACGACGACTTTTTGACCTCGACATGTCGTTACAACTGCTGGATTATTAAAACTCTAACTTTCGCGGATCTATATATTTATTAAACAATTCGAACTCATTCTTGTGTTTGCTCATAGCACAACCTGCAGTAATTTGTGGTAAGCACCTGCATTGTATGCTTTTTTATTTTGCCATATTCTTTTTGTGCACAAATTTTGCCATTTTGCTACTCCTATACCATTTTTTTACGAATTGTAACATGTCTTCCAATACCTCTGATAACTTAGAGCTGGGATCTGTTAGTACTATTTCTCTTACTGTACCAGTTTTTAAGCCCAGAGACCCTCATCTTTGGTTTGCACGACTGGAGCATTATTTGGCTAGCAATAAGCTCACGTCACAGACAGCTAAATTTGGCATTTTGAGTACAGTACTACCAGACGAAGTCGCCGAGCAGGTACGGCAATACATCGTTCAACCCAGCACAGAAGCGTTTTACGACAAGTTGAAGGAAGAGGTACTGCAATGCACTTCGCTTTCGGATAGGCAAGCACTCGATCGCCTGTTTAGCAATGTTGAGTTGGGGGATAAAACCCCATCGCAACTCATGAGGCATATGCAAAGCCTAGTTGCAGGAAGAGAAATCGATAAACTTCCCTTTTACCAAATCTGGCTGCGACGACTTCCCGCAAACATCCAGCAGGTTCCTGCTTTCGGAGACGACGACATTGACATAGAAAGGCTCACCGAAATCGCGGATCGCATGTACGAGAGGTCAACACCTCAACCTGTCGCTTCCACTAGCAGAATACCAGACACTCACGATACAATACAGACTCTAGAACACAAAGTCGACACCTTACTGAGTCAGTTAGCAAAACTGACCACACGCACACAACCAAGCCGTTCTAGAAGCTCGCCTCGTCGACGTCTTTCTCGATCCCCTAGCACGTCACGACATCGCGATAATATTTGCTGGTATCACCGTAGTTATGGAAGCAATGCACGACGGTGCCGTTCACCTTGCAACTTTCAGACTAAACCAAAAGATATATCGTCATGTGTAGAAAATACTGTTGACAATCTACGATCTACGTCCACGTTGCAAGAGGACCTCAACAAATTGTCAGAGTGGTCCATAGAATGGATGCTCCCGATAAACGTGACAAAATGTGCAACCATGCGCATTGGACAAGCAAGCACGAGCTCTTATGAACTAGAGGGAATTACACTTCCATCAGTTCAGACTTACTTGGACTTAGGTGTCATAGTTAGCCACGACTTAAAAACCACAGCACACTGTCGCGCGGTGGCTGCACGTAGTTTCAGGTCATTATGGGCAATTCGTAGAGCCTTCACTAGAATCACCAGAGATATGTTCACCTCCTTATATACATCTCTGGTGAGGTCAAGACTGGAAAACTGCATCCAGGCCGCCAGCCCTTGTCTAAAAGGGGACTCACTTATTTTAGAAGGGGTTCAAAGGAAAGCAACACGTGGCATTCATGGCATGACTAACTTATCATACGAGGAAAGACTAGACAGTTTAAATCTCTTCTCCTTGTCATACCGTAGGCAGAGAGGAGATTTAATCACAATGTTTAAAATTTTAAATAATGACTACGGACCTGACCTATTTTCTGTTTTCCTTCCCACCAGGTCGGAACACCTTAGAGGACATAGCAGGAGAGTTCAAAAGCCAAGAAGATATCATATTGCTGTTGAGTACTGGTTCTCACACCGAGTCGTAAACTCTTGGAACCGACTCCCAGAAGAAGTGGTGTCTGCAACCTCAGTTGATTCGTTCAAGAAGGGTTTGGACAACCACAGAAATTTACTAGAAAAGGATTAACATAGGCTCCAAGCCTTCTATCCTCAACCAATAAATCTGAATCTGAATCTAACAGTCGTTTGTTTTATGTAACAGATAAAAATACCGGTACTACATTCTTAGTCGACACAGGAGCGGAGGTGAGTGTTCTGCCACCGTCTACACGGGAACGTCAACATCCTGACCCAGTAGTTACGCTCCAAGCCGTTAATAAGTCCAGTATTGTTACATATGGAAGTAAACGAATGACTTTGGATTTTGGTTTGAAGAATACCTACACTTGGTCGTTCATCATTGCAGACGTTCCATCTCCAATCCTCGGTATCTATTTTCTACAGCAACACAAACTGTTAGTTGATCCGATAAGCCGCAAGCTAATAGATTCGCTCAAAAAAAGTACATTGCTGGTACGATTAGCCGTGCATCATCACTGAACTTGATGGTCACACGCACACCAGCATCTCCATATACCAATTTGGTAAATCAGTTTCCTGACCTTTTACAACCTTCTTTTCGAGGAACAGAACCGAAGCATCATGTGGTTCATCATATTAAAACTACTGGACCACCAGTTTTTGCACGTCCCCGACGCCTTGACCCACATCGACTTAAAATCGCCAAAACAGAGTTCGATAAAATGCTAGAGCTTGGTATTATTCGACCGTCCAACAGCTCTTGGTCTTCACCGCTTCACATGGTACCTAAAAAGTCTTCTGGTGAAATACGGCCATGTGGTGATTATCGAGCTTTAAACAAGCAAACGGTACCTGATCGATACCCAATACCACATATCCACGATTTCGCTAGCAACTTACCAGATGTTAAAATTTTCCCTAAAATCGATCTTGTCAGAGCGTATCATCATATCCCCATCCACCCGGATGGCGTTCCGAAAACCGCCATTACCACACCATTCGGCTTGTATGAATTCGTACGCATGCCCTTCGGACTAATGAACGCCGCTCAGACATTTCAACGCCTAATCGACCAAGTACTCCGTGGTCTCCCTTTCGTCTACGCATACATCGACGACTTACTAATTGCAAGTGCAGACGAAGCCGAGCATTTGAAACATGTGAAGACTGTGTTTGAAAGACTTAACCAATACGGCATGACTATCAACTTAGACAAATGCGAATTTGGTAAGACCTCACTGAAATTTCTCGGTCATTTAATCGATGGCCAAGGAATCAGACCAGTCCCTGATGACGTACAAGCTATCAAAGATTATCCGTTACCAGATTCTTTTAAGAAATTACGGCAACTTTTGGGTCTCGTTAATTTTTACCGGCGTTTTATCCCGAACTGTGCTAAAGCTTTACAACCGTTAACCGATTGCTTACGTGGACATGGTCGTTCATTCCATTTGCCCGCAGAAGCTGTTAAAGCATTCGAAAATGTCAGACAATTGTTAAATGACAAGACACTCTTAGTCAGACGCCAAAATGACGCCCCCTGTCTCTCATGACAGATGCTTCAGACGTTGCCATTGGGGCAGTTTTACAACAGCAGGTACGCGGCGAATGGCAACCCCTAGCATTCTTTTCGAAACGACTGAATCCTACTCAATGTCGCTGTAGCACTTTTGGTAGAGAGTTATTGGCTGTTTATTTAGCAATCAAGCACTTTCGACATATGCTGGAAGGTACAGCTTTTACTGTCTTTACAGACCATAAAGCTCTAACGAAAGCCTTATCAGCAAAACAGGATAACTACTCTCCGCGTGAACTACGACATCTCGAGTTTATATCCCAGTTCACCTCCGATCTGCGACACGTAAAGGGTAAAAACAATGAAGTGGCAGACGCTTTATCACGTGTGCACATTGACAACATTTTATGCCCAGACATCGACTACCAACGTCTCTCAAACTTACAACGAGATGATGCCGAACTAAAGAAGATCATGTCTTCTAAAACAACATCTTTAAAACTCGACGCAATTCCTTTTGGCACGACAAAAGTAATCTGCGACACCTCTACGGGTAAATATCGACCCTTCGTTCCAGCAGCTATGAGACATACAGTATTCGAGAAGTTACATAACTTGTCTCATCCCGGTGTCAGCGCTACTATCAAACTACTAAAAGAAAGATTTATTTGGCCGAACATTAATAGCGATGTTAAGAAGTGGACACGAAATTGCTTGTCCTGTCAAAGAGTCAGAATCAACCGTCACGCCAATGCACCACTTGGTCGCTTTCCTAACCCTGACTCTAGATTTGAACATATACATGTAGACATAGTTGGTCCACTACCTCCTTCCAATGGTTTCAACTACATTCTAACTTGCATCGATAGATTCACTCGTTGGCCTGTAGCAGTTCCAATAGCCGACGTCTCCGCTGAAACGGTAGCTAAAGCTTTGGTCGAAAACTGGATAGCCAACTTTGGTGTCCCATCCATCATCACTACGGACAGAGGTGCTCAATTTGAAAGCCGACTTTTTCACCAGCTAACTGAATTACTGGGCATTAAACGAATACGAACTACCGCGTACCATCCTAGTTCCAACGGTATGGTTGAACGACTTCATCGACAACTCAAAGCTGCGCTCGCTGCTTCTCTGACTCAAAACGACTGGTCAACCAAACTCTCACTGGTACTGCTTGGTATACGAGCTACTCTAAAGAAAGATATTGGTTGCTGCGTTTCCGAACTAGTCTATGGAACAACATTACGATTACCAGGAGAACTTTTCACCCCGGGTAACCAAGTTCCACAAGATATGACTGGTTATGTGCACCAGCTAAAACAACACATGAACGAGCTCAAGATATCACTTCCACGCCAGCAGGAACGAACGTCATACATCCCACCACAACTGACAGATTGCACTCACGTCTTCGTCAGGAGAGAGGGTGTACAACGACCACTTCAACCCGCTTATGATGGC